TGTCCTTTGTGTTTGAGACCAGTTTGTCCATCGCAGAGGAAAGCCATAACCTCACCTTTCCTGGCTTCAACAAGTGCAACTCAGGGCACAACAATGGCACTGTGCCGAAGGTCCACCTGATCTTTCTGCTGCTGCCCATCACTGTCTTCGCCGTCTTGGGAAACCTCCTCACCATGGTGTCCGTGGCCTGCTTCCACCAACTGCAGACGGCCACCAATGTCTTCGTCGCCTCGCTGGCCACCGCCGACTTCCTGGTTGCGGTGCTGGTGATGCCGTTCAGCCTGGTGCGCTCGGTGGACCGCTGGAGGTTCGGCGAGCTCTTCTGCCTGGTGCATTTCCTCCTGGACATCACCCTCTGCTCCGCCTCCATCTTCAACCTCACCTGTGTGGCGCTGGACCGCTACCTGGCCGTGTGTGACCCGCTGCGCTACCCCGCCCGCATGACCCGAGGCCGGGTCTCCCAGCTCCTGCTGCTGTCCTGGCTCCTCCCCCTGTTTGAGTCCTGCCTGATCGCCATGCTGGGCCTCTACACGTGTGGCCAGGAGGGGGCGCTGGGCTTCAGAAAGGGCCAGTCCTGCTTCCTCATGTTGAAGACCCCCTATGCGGAGGTAGCCTCCGTTGTCAGCTTCCTCCTGCCCGTGGGGTTCATGGCGGTGGTGTACGGGAGGATCTTCCTGGTGGCCCACCGGCAGGCCAGGAGGATCGACACAGTGTCCAGCCACGTCGGGCAGGCCCAACCAGGCACCACCGCGAGGAAGGAGCGGAAGGCCGCCAAGACCCTGGGAGTCATCATGGGGGCCTTCCTGCTGTGCTGGCTGCCCTTCTTCACCATCAACCTGGCGCACCCACACTGGGGCTCCCACATCGGCCACAAGGCCCTGGAGTGCGTCCTGTGGCTGGGCTACGCCAATTCCGCCATCAACCCCCTGCTCTACGCCTTCTTCAACAGCACCTTCCGCCGGGCCTTCGCCACCCTCCTGGGCTGCAGGTTTCTGGGCAGGCAGCTCCAGGACAGCCGCCTCTCCCCCGGAGCCAGCGGGCAGACAGGGACTGGGCTTACATCTGCCTCTAGATGAGGGGAGGACCTAACCCCAACCTCCACCCAATAACACCACCACCATCTACCTACCTCCCACCCGCCACCACACACATACCAGTCAATCCTCCATCTCTGCAGAGATTGCCTGTGCAGAGTTACATTCCTGTCTTAAACCGCTGAAAGTCAAGAGAACCATGACAACAGAGAGGTTGATTTTGGCAATGAGGGAGCACCAAGACATCTCTTGGTCCGCATGCACAAAACGTTCTTGAGAAAATGACACGTTCCGGAATACACGCAGAAGACGTGTGAAAAGAGTGTTTCAGGGAGGAGTATTCATTTGCTTTTTTGTTTTTGTGTTTTCTGTGTGGCTGCTTTATTATTCATTTTATTTTTCATTGGATAATGCTTGGACTCTGAATTTTCTGATGGTTTTCCATAACATGACCATTGCATGACTACTGCAATATTAATGTAAACTACCAAACCTTTTGTACAGATTTTTGGTTTGAGAATTATTAAGAAATTAGATAAATAATAGATTTGTATTCAACTTATGTAAAATATACCAAACATTCCCAAACAATACCAAAATCTTTTAAAATCTTATTTGACGTATTTTCTTTTTCAAATGTATTTTCGGTTAACAATAAACTAATTAGCTGTTTGTTCTAATATAGTTTTACATTAATACCATTTAGAGAAAGAACAGAAAAGGAAGAGTAAACGATGGTTAAAATATTTGTGTTTCTGATTTTAGTATAGGTTGCCGTGACCAGACGTCAATGAGTGTCACAGTTAAGCACAGTCAATACGGCGTATGTTTCGCTCGAAATAATCCACCATATGTCAATTATGGATTCAGCAATTCTAAAAACCATGGGTTTCTCCAGATCTGATCACAATTAAACCTCCAAAATTCGAAGAGATGACAAGTATATGCGTTGAGAACGTTTCATGTTCACACAGTATGCATTTTTCTCTTAAGAATGTAGTTTCTTTGTGTGGAAACCAGGTGGCGCCTTATTTTTTAATATACGTACGATAATTCGACATTTCGCCGCAAACTTGAGTTGAATTGTGCTGCTTGTATTATTATTAGTTAGTTTGGTATGTTGGTTATTATGCCGAGAACAACTTTGCCCGCCAAGGGGATTCCATAAATTTTGCGATCTAGTTAGACACTCGGCTTTCATTTTCTCACAACGACTACACGTCCCAGAGTTCTCCAGAGCAATGCCTTCGTTTTCTGCTGTTTTATTCGCCAAAGGATGGCGGAAATGCTATTTACGTTATATATGTATTACGCAATGTCTGACTGCCTTCAGGTATGAATGGGCGAGACGTTGAGTGTTAATGCTGACTTTTTTTAGGTAATAAGTAATGGTCGTGGATATTTTTGTTTCTGGATGGAAGCTAGACAGGTACACAAAGACACCTGGTTTACACATTACTTTGGAAAGCGCGTTTGTTAAATGCCAACTCTAGTCTAGTGGACTCGCTGGCTGTGGCATGAGGGATTCTATAAAGACAAATGAAACAATCGCATAAACATACACTTAAGTAAAAAAAAAAAAAAAAAAAGCACAGAGTTTGTGGATGAATGGAAATTGTGTTGAAAGCTTGCTAGCTGTCGAGGAAGTGTTGTCACAGAGTGTGATCATCTGTTGGTAACTGCCCATACAGAAAAAAATGTATTGAAATATATTTTAAGTGTCAAAAATATATGTGGAATATATTGTAAATACATGGAATACATTTGCATTGATGTTCACTTTTATTTGTAATACTGAAATATATTTTGAAGCATAACAAAATATATGATGTTAAGTGTGAAATATATTCAAATATATGACATGAAATGCAAAATATGAGACAAAATATATGTGGTCATGAAATTTTAGTTGACTGTAACTGATGAAAGTCCTTCAGCTGTACATGTTTCAGCCTCAGAAGCACCTCGCTTATACAGCTAAAGAAGGACCAAAATGTTCTGTTTTTTGAGCAGTTTAGGGATTACTTCTACCTCCTCTTTCCCTACACAACAGTAACAGATTTCACTACTGTATACTATATTACATAGTACTATATTATATACTGTATATTTACATTTAAATGACTGCAATGTCAAATGACACATTACATTTGCTTCCCTAGGACATCAGGCTACATTAAAACAGCACTTAGTTCAACTATTACATTTATTGACATGCTTTGATGCCCATCCTTCTGAAGAGTAATTGTTGTTTAAAATAATATTGAAAATATGCACAGTATTTATGATGCAAGTATAATACAATGACACTACAATAGTAAAGTACAGTGAAATAATACAATATTAAGACAGAATGCACTCAGTGACCAACACTGCACTTACAAAATATACACACAAAATACAATTACACAATATACACACAAAATATACACACTTCTTCATTCCATTATACTATATATATATATATATATATATATATATATATATATATATATATATATATATATATATATATATATGTATACAGCACTGTACATTATATCTACATACATATATAATATATAATAATACCCATGTTCAAGAAAATATGCTGACATAAATGTATTTACAGGGTGGCAGTGTAGCATCGTGGTTAAGGAGCAGGACTCATGATCAAAAGGTTGCTGGTTTGATTCCCCACTGAGGCACTGCTATTGCACCCTTGGGCAAGGTACTTTGCCCCAAATTGCCTCAGGAAAATATCCAGCTGTATAGATGGATAACGTTGTAACTGATGTAAGAGTGTTTGCTACATATTGTTATCATTATTATCTCAAAGTCAAAAATATATGCACATATATGTAACATACAAACAGAAATATACATAGAAGTAACTATATTTAATTAGTAAATATATTGTCCTATATTTCACCAAAATATATTTATTGGGCCAATTTTGAATATTTACATATATTTCAAGTGAAGTGCTTGTCAAAATATATTTCAAATATAATTTTTCATGTATGGGTGGCTAGCTAGGAATGTGTGCCTAAACTCTGCACACCGAATGCACAAGCAGTTTACTTGCTGACTAGCAGTCATGGTGGCCGTCGTAGGTCTTCCCTTTATAACGATCATTTCTACAGAATGATAGTATTTAGCCTGTTTGCTGTGGTGGAGAAGTAAATGCACTGTTAGTGGTTGTATGAAAGTATGGCTTCAAGGCTTTATTACAATGCTATGTGAAAAAGTGGTCCTGCATATTGTTTAATGGTACTGGAGGACGTAGTGCAATGTGCGAAATTTGTTTCAGTATGTCTGTTGCTTATGCAAAGAAAGCTCTACCTATAGTAACACACTGCAGCCTCCAGCTTCAATGCAGTCCAGTAATCATTCTGTGGAATGTGAAATATAAACAGTGCCCTTACAGAATGTACAGAAAGACAGCTAAAACACTGAGTTTGATTAAACAAAGTCTTGTCATGTGGTTGCATGCAGAGGCCAGTGGAAACATCAGTGGGTGAGAGTGACTGGGATATGGAAGCTCTACCAAAGATGCTGGTGCGTGGACTGAAGGCTTCTGCGTATAGCCAGACCACCCTGGGCAGCAGGAGTGTGGAGGTGGAGGAGGACTGCTTCTTCAACTGTGAGGGTTCACTGCAGGGGAGGTGGAGAGGAGAGTGCAGAGCAGAGGGGAAAACTGAGAGGTCAGTCTCAGAACTGCCAGAACTGGGGAGCGAAGGCACAGAAACATGGCTTAGATAGTTAAAGAGCCTGTCTGGGTTCAAATCCCAGCAGTGCCTTTCTCAAATCTTTCGGAGAAATTCCAACAAAAATACAAATGCACAGACACAACAGCTTCCAATGATGTGGCGTGTCACTGCGTGTTGCTCCTGCTTTCAGGTGGACCATCTAGATTCTTTTCCACATGTAGATTGATCAGTTAAAGTGCATGCAGAAACAAAAGAGTTTCCATTGCTCTGGGGTGGCAGTGTAGCATACTGGTAATACGGTAGGGCTCATAACCATAAGGTTGCTGGTTCAATTCCCCATTGGGGCACTGCTGCTGTACCCTTGGGTAAGGTGCTTCACTCCCACTTTCCTCAGAAAATATCCAGCTGTTTAAATAAATAAAATTGCATGTACCTCTGTAAGTTGCTGTGGTTGAGCACATTTGCTAAATGACACTAATGTAATGTCTCAAGGACACAGACATTGGTGGAGAAGGAGGGCAATCATCAGAGCAGGGAGGAGAAGAGAGGGGGAGAAGGGCAGACAAAGAGGAAGAAGATCAGGAGAACTGGGAAGAGTGTAGTGAGGAAGAGAAGAGCAGAGGAATCTGACAATTTTTGACAAAGAATATCTAAGAGAGGTGGAGAAAGACCTGATGGAGGAGGAGAAGGAGGGGAGTATCATCCTAATTTTGGAAAGCCTGTAAAAAAACAAATGGTTGTACTCTTTTTGAAATAGGGGCAAAAACTAACTTCTTTATCTGTGTTTATTGTCCAATTTTCAAAAGGGGTGCAAACATCTGCTTTCCCTCATTTGCAGTTTACATGCACTATAAAAGTTGGAACTCTCTCATTTAAGTTTTACCACTACTGAGTGCTATTCTCTAACTCAAGACCTGAAAGCCAAAAGACTTAGAATCAAATGATCACACTGAAATAATCTAAAGACTGGTATCAGTTCTTGGGGTAACACATAATGTTACATTACATTACATTCATTTAGCAGACACTCTTATCCAGAGTGAGCTCCAGCACAAAAGAACAGAAGTGTATTCAGGTTGAATGAGCAACAGTGTCAGGCCAGGCTAACAACATTCCCACACCAGTGAGTGTGAGTATAACACTACACCTTTAAGAAATATGAATATTTATCATTACCATCTTTGGTTGCCTCTTTTATATGCTTAGTCTGCTTAAGTGCATCACTTGACAACATGCATGTATCAAGGGTACTTCTTCTATTAAACATACCTCAGAAAGTATACAGGGCAATATATTGAGTGAAATCTGCCTCTTGGAGGCTTCAGTTCAGCACACAACCATACCTGTACACTAGTAAAACCTGGAACGGCTCAAACGCCTATACATTAGGAATACCATTGCTGTCTCTCCCTCTGACAAACATATGTAAATGAAATGAAATAAAATCTTAGAGGATGGAGTTATGCCAGAATAGTAGAATCCACTGGAAATTACTTCTGCCATATTTTGTCTGCAACCTGGTTTGTTGCATAATGTCCTTTTAAATAATAAAAGAGGAGGGTATGACCCTGAAGGAGAGAGAGAGAATGTCCTGTTTAAGAGAGGAGGTGGGCAGCACCGCTGGTCTGTGCTGACAAACCCATCACTGCATGGAGAACTGTGAATTTTTTTCTACAGACTAGTATGCTTGTTCCCTACCGGTGAGTCCATTCATTAGAATGGCAGAACATTTCGCGTGGGAGTTTTGGAGAAGTTCTGAAAGGTCAGAGCAAACATGACCTTTGCCAGCTAATTCACCCTGGACTTCATTTACACGTGTTGTGTATGGCCCTTGCTGTGAGTCATAACCATTAAGGCTTTGGAGAAAAGGAAAAAAAAAACCTTTGGAGTGCATAACTTGCCTTTGAGAAACTGCCAGGAGAAGAGTTCTGGAGGTTTTATGCCATTTTCACAGCACTGCTCAGAGGGGCATGGGAGTACTTCAGTATAAGAATAGCTGTTAGCAGCAGCCCAAGGACATGCCTGATTGAATGGGTGTTTAGCATGGAGCCAGCCTGTGGGTGTGTGTGTAATACAGCATTGATCATCTCTGTATGTGCTTATTGTGGTAGTGACCAGCCTGAGGTGTGTGTGTGTGTGTGTGTGTGTGTGTGTGTGTGTGTGTGTGTGTGTGTGTGTGTGTGCGTGCAATGTAGTGCTGACCTGTTCTCTGTGTGTGTGTGTGTGTGTGTGTGTGTGTGTGTGTGTGTGTGTGTGTGTGTGTGTGTAGACTTGTATTCAGTATTGGCCTGTGTGTAAAGTGTGGTATTGAACTGTCTGTACGCTGTATGTGGTATTGACGTGTGTGTGTGTGTGCGCGCGTGTGTGTGTGTGTGTGTGTGCGCGTGTGTGTGTGTGTGTGTGTGTGTGTGTGTAAAGAATTGAAATCTGTGTCTGTGTCCATGTCTGTGTGAAGGGTGGTACTGACCTGTGTGTGTGTGTGCATGCGTGCATGCATGCGTGTGTGTGTGTGTCTCTATAATGGGTGGTACTGACCTGCATGTCCCTGCAGACTACACTAAGGCAGCGGAGTGTTCCACTGCAGTGCTGAGGGCATGTCCAGTGTGCTAAAATAAGGAGAAAGCCATATTTTACTCCAACCGCACTACTGCCCACTTGCACCTGATACAGACCTCATACCTGTACTCCCACAGGCCTCAGAGAGGGGGTGCTCTGACTGGCATCATACGCATGGCGTTGTCTATCCCCATGCCTCTTCCACTGTGACCTAAAGAGGGAGATCTGATGTGGTGGTGGTAAGGAGCACGGCTCGTAACCGAAAGGTTGCAGGTTTAACTCCCTGCTGGGGTACTGCTGCTGTACCCTTGGGGAGGGTACTTAACCCACAAATGCCTCAGTAAATATCCAGGTGTATAAATGGGTAACATGTAAATGTGTAACCTATGTGAGTCACTGTGGATAAGCATGTCTGCTAAATGACAATAATGTAATGTAATAATGTATTGTTATTTCTGCAACTCTGACAAGGGGCTGTAGCATTTCAGATGACTTACATTGGTAAAGAGTACAATAGCAGTATCTCCCCAGGAAAACAAGCCCACAACCCTCTGGCTACAGGCCCTTTTCGCTATGCTTTACAGCTTATGTCAAGAGTGGAACAGCAGGTTTGCCTTTAAAACAAATAGCATTGTAAAGGTTATTTGCTCTCAGAGTAATGCTTGCAACTTGGCTGCAAGCCTTGTTTCCTAACTGCTACTTCGCACTACCAAGGTAACTGTCCAATTCTATTTTCATTTACTTTGCTGTTTTCGTAGCTATCAGGAAGGTTCTGTAAATTCAGTGTGTGCCAAGACTACTGACCATGCAGACAACTCACTCTGCTTTTTGACCCTGAAGATGGGACAAATTGGATCGAAGCCAACGTAATGTGTTTCTGTTTTGTGAGTGACAGACGATAATACCACCAGCGATTTTGCTCGAATTGCCGCTACACTGAATTCTCCCTCCTTTCTCTCAGGATCAGAACGAGAAGCCATTGATGACTGCCCAAAAGGTAATCAATCAGTCAATCAATCCATCAGTCAGATTTTATTGAATGTGGCGTTTGTAAAGGAATCGGCACAAGCACCTCAAAGATTGCATCAGAGAAAAGGGAATACAGAAAAATTATAACAGAAACGTTATGACATGAATTTGAAAGAGGGAAGCAGTGATACAATAGCAAACAGATTTACCACAGGCTTTCAGCAAGTGTACTGCCTCAAGGGTACTTCAGGGAGATATAGGGGGCACTGAGGAGCAAGGACCATTTTTATATATCACTGAAGTTAAAGTGTTTTGCCCAAAAAGGATGAAATTCCCGACTACCCTGAAGCTGGCTGATAGACTTTAAAAAAACAGTGAGATACAAACTTTGTTATGCTAGTTTGTGAGAAAAGAGATGTACCGATGTGTTATCTCACTGTTATATAAGATATTCTCTTAAGGACAAGAAAAAAAATCCTAGTTTCACTTCTTGTTACGAAAGTACAGAGATGACACTGTAACAGGACAGTGCTCTCTTCTCTGCCCTTCTGTCTATGATGTCACAATAGGATTTCGGCATAACAGCCCAACTCAACCTTTACGAAGAGCCTTGGTTTTCATTTCCTTTTCTTCAGCCTGATAGCCAAAGCATAATACAACTCCAAGCCTGTCTGTTCACTCCATAGGTGGCCTTTGTAAAATGGCAGTCACATTGAATCGATTTTGGAAGATGTTTAGTCAATTGTACGTTAATGCAGATATTATCAGCATGTACTCATATTGCAAAATTGTTAAAAAAAATGTGATAGGAACCTTGGGTATGTAAGTGTACAGTTCATTTGGTGGTGAATATGTGAATGACATCACAGATGCCAGTATTGTTTAATCTGACCAGATATTCAGCTCAGTGTGCTTAACATTGAAAAACATTGTCTCTGCCATTATCTGAAGCTAAAGGTATGCAGATCTGTTGTTATAAATGTTTACGATGGGCTGTAGTACAAGACAACATCAGTAGCTGTGTGGTATAACAACACAGACAGCACAGGATCTTCTACTTGCCAACCTAGAACCTCATAGACATGAAAGTACAGACAACAGGAGGAACCCAGAGCTGAACATCTGTTCAGTAAATCGGTTATCAGTGACGTATTTGTGTTTGTCACCAGCTATAGAACTGAATCCCACCTACATCAGAGCGATTCTGCAGAGGGCAGAGCTCTACAAGAAAAAGGGGATGAGCTAGATGAGACTACAGGTGTTTTTTGGGGAAGGACCTGAGTGTACAGCTGGGTGGGAAGTGTGTGTAGAGAGTGTCCTTGCAACTCTACCCTCCCAAAAAAACTGCACGTTTTGAACAGCATGAGGACACATTCAACCGCGCACAGCGACCCTCATACCAGAACAGGTATGTAGCAGGTTGGAGCCAGTGAACAGGAAGTTGTCCTCAGTAGGATTTTCATCTGATGTAGTGTTGTACATATGTTCTAACAGCATACCATCATAACCATCAAATATTTTAACTTTCCCAAACACTTCTGTGCTAAAAGCTGTAAATGATTAAGGATCAGTGCTTTAGGATGATGTCCACCTATACCATAGAATGTTTGACCCCTATTAAAAGCTGTAGGTCAAAATGAATTGATTCTCAAATAAAGAGGCCATTTACGGTACCAGTGTCCTTCCACCCATCAATGATATAGCCTCTGCCACAGTGTGCAGATGGCACTCCACTTAAAACAGATGAAAAAATATTTCAGGAAAGATACAAATTGAGCATTGCAAAAATACTTAAAATGAGATTAAAAATAAGATCAAAG